AAATCTTCTCCTAGCCCAATGACACAAAAAATATTCTCTTATTTCTTTTGAAGGTTTTAACATTTTAGCTTTTCACATTTAAATCTTTAATCTGTGGAGGTTATTTTTGTGCATGGTATGAGGTAAAGGTCTAATTTTGTCTTTTCCTGTGTCTGTGACCAGTCCTCCCAATCCTGTTTATTAAATGGTCAGTGGCATACACCCATGACCATTTAATGGTCAGCGGCACATGCCTGTAATGTGTCTGGCAACTCAGGAGGCTGAGGCAGGAGGATTGAAAGGTTGAGACCAGACTGAGCAATTTAGCAAGACCCTGTGTCAAAATAAGAAATAAAAAGGCCTGGAGATGTAGCTCAGTAGTAGAGCGTCCCTGGGTTCAATCCCAGTACTGCCAAAAAAAGCCCTTTCCCACTGTCCTGTGTCGCCTCCTCTGTTGTACAAGACATGTGCTGTGTTTGCTTCTGATTTCTGAACTTCTCTGGACTCTTTGCCTGTCTTGGGTTAATACCACAATTACTACAGAAGTCCTAACAACGAATGGAGTATCCTCCCTTGTCTTCAACGCATTCTTGCTTTTCCCCCCAGACTCTGGGGAAGAACCCAGGGCCTCACAAGTGCCAAGGGGGCCAGTGCCCCACATGGCGCTAAACCCAGCCCTTCTAGCCTGTTCAGTCACAATCTGTGAGTGTTGGTGGCTGTTTCTCTCTTTCCATGTTGTATGTGGTTTCGTTTGGGCTTGGTTTGTAGTCTCATTATGCTACAGCTTGTGCTGAATACAGAGGTGCGAGCTTTCTTGTCTCTTCCCTGAGTTCTAAGTTTTATCATATCGTTTTCTTATCTTTTGAGATGAGCACTTGGTTTTTCTCCTTCAATCTGTTAGTGCGAGAATTTTATTCCTATATTTTCCAAGATTATGGAGATAAATTCTGACTCGATACCTCATACCAGATAAAATGATTAATTTAAAGTATTGTTGGGTTGTGTTTGCTATTTATTTTGTTTAGGATTGTTGTATCTGCCTACAAATGGAAAACAAATTGTTCCATAATTCTTCTTTCTCAAAATGCACTGGTCTGGTTTTGGAAACAATATTAAACCAGCCTCAAGATATTAGCCTAGGCGTGGGCTCTGCTTCCTGTTCTGTTCTCTATGGACAGTTTCTCTGAGGTAGTGAGTCCTTAAAGCTTTCATAGACTTTTTGGGAATGTTTTAAGTACCATTTCATTATTCAATTAACATATAACATACATGGATAAAAGTCTATTTTATATAATAGGAATCACAGACGTACTCTTGGTGATTTTGCTCAACACTGAAGTTGAAGTCGAAGTTTGTTTGTTCTGACTGCTGTAGAGCATTGCATTTTGCGATTGCAACGTAAGGTACCCATCCTACAGCTGATGTGCCTTTCTGTGGTCCCTGTCTTTGACTACTGCACAGACAGCTGCTGAGGGTGTTCAAGGTGGCACCCTTTGATGAGCATGTGTTTGCATTTCTCTTGTCCAGAGGTGGATTTGCTGAGTCACACAAAGCATGGAGCTTTAGCAGATGCTCCTGATTAGATTTCAGAAATGATTACCATTTTCTATTTTTTTTCTTGAGTTTTAGTAAGTTATATATTTCTAGAAAATTGTCTATTTCATCAGTTATTGGTATGAATTAAGTATTTTTAGATTTTTTAAAGTCTATCATTTATCCCTTCTATTATTCCTAATTTGATTCATTTGTGCTTCTTTCTTTGTCTTTTTATCAAGCTTGCCAGATTCATCCCTTTTATTTGACCTTTTCACAGTGAACACTGGGGCGGGGCTAGGGTTGTGGCTCAGCAGTGGAGCCCTCGCCTAGCTCATATGAAGCCCTGGGTTCAATCCTCAGCACCACATATAAAGAAATAAATAATATGAAGGTATTGTGTCCAACTACAACTAAAAAATAAATATTTTTTTTAAAAAAACCGTCAACACTGGGTTTTATTGATTCCCTCTATGAGTCTTTAGCATACACCAGACTCTGAGGTGTTCATGTCTTCCCACAACATCAGAATTTATTGAATATCCATACTTTCACAAGCTACATCACTTTCAGCAGCTTTAATTCACCAGATGTTTGTGGTTCACTGGTAACCAGGACAAGGCAATCTCAGGTTCTCTTATGCCATTCCAATCTTAGTTATTACTATCTCTACAACTCCAGTCACATACCACACTTCACACAGTGGCACACCAGTTGCAGGTTGGCTAATAGTGTTCATGGTTCATAGTGGTCACCAGGTTTTAAGCGGTAGCACTGAGAGCAGAGTGCTTAGATGAGTAAGAACCAGCTGGAAGCATTGTTCAGGGTGCAGAGCTGTTCAGGACGAGGAGCTTACTCTGGGTGAGGGTCTGGATGGCAACAGTTTTGAAGGGGGCCACATCAAGCAGGGAGATCCAGCTAAGATGAAGCCCCAGGACAGAGTCAGGAGTCATGACTCAACTTGTTCCCGGGTGGCCTGAGAAGACCATCAGTGTGTGCCTCCGTACTCTTGTTTTGAGTGGCTCTTCTCTTATGTGTTTCAGGTGGGTAGGATTGTTATTTGCTGGTCTGGGGTGTCTGATAAGCTCACAGGTCTGCTTTCTTGGATATGAAGTCTATTTATTTGATAGGTATATAGCAACATCAGCTTTCTTTGATTAATATTTCTCTGACATTTTTTCCTGTCTCTTTATATTTCACATTTGTTAGCTGGAGGGGAGGTGGGAATGGTTTCGGTTTCCCTAATTTTTATTCTGTTTTTTTTCCCCAAATCTGTCTTGAGTTTTTTCATAATACCTTATTCTTAAGTCACCTTTGTGTATCTTAGTCTCTTTAGGACTTCTGTTTTTAATGATCACTTTTCAGGTTGTTCTCTATTGAAGTCCTTGTGGATTTCTTTCTTAAAAGAGAGAGAATTTTAATGTTTATTTTTCAGTTCTTGGCCGACACAACATCTTTCTTTGTATGTGGTGCTGAGGATCGAACCCGGGCCACACGCATGCCAGGCGAGCGCACTACCGCTTAAGCCACATCCCCAGCCCTCCTTGTGGATTTCATCCTGTTTGTAATACATGGTTTTCTCCTTGTGGATTTTGTGCTTCTGGGTTCTGAATCTTTTATCACTGGAGCCGTATCTATAATATATCCCATGTAGTCCTAGAGCAGGAGAGAATCTGTCCAGGATGATTTTGGAGGCTTTTTGTTTGGAGGTGTGGGGATGAAACTCAGGGCCTTGCACATGCTAGGTAAGTGCTCTACCACTGAGCTACACTGCCAGCCCTCTCCAGTGTAATTTTGGGTTTGCTTCTGGTTGGCCCCTTGGATGCATCTATCTTCATCCCTGAGCTAGCTTTTATTTTTTGTTTGTTTGTTTTCAGTGCTAGAAATTAAACCCAGGGCCTCGAGTATGCTAAGCAAGGGCTCCACCACATAACCCTTTTTAAAACAGGGTCTTCTAATGTTGGCCAGGCTAACCTTGATCTTGTGATCCTCCTGCCTCAGCCTCTTGAGTAGTTAGCATCACAGGAGTTTTTCTATAACTTTGATGAGTTCTGAGACCCATGTAGTGAAACTTAAACCCTAAATTTGCCCCAGTTTGTTCCCATTTCTCAGGCAGGAGCAGGAGTCCTCTCCCTGAGAAGGAAAGGCTCTGGGGTTTGATTTCGGTGGGGGAGGGGGCAGGGGGCAGGTAGATAATTAGGGATTGAGTTCAGGGGCATTCAACCATTGAGTCTTATCCCCCTCCCTTTTTTTGTATTTTATTTAGAGACAGGTTCTCACTGAATTGCTTAGGGCCTCACTAAGTTGCTGAGGCTGGCTTTGAACTCACAGTCCTACCTCGGCCTCCCAAGCCACTGGGATTACAAGTGTGCACCACATGCCCCACTGGGGTTTGATTTTTGTTAACCTTTCTTTCACTGGGGTACTGCCAGTTAAAGGTTATGCCTTTTAGGCAGACAGTTGATCTCCTGGTCACTGCCTCTTTCAAACCCAGGGCCTTATCCCCTGAGCCCACTAGGGATGACCCCACGGGTCTGTGTGGCAGGGCCTGGGTTTACCCCCATGCCTCTGCCTAGGCAGCCTGTTGGATTCTGCTCTGGTTCCCAGAGTCCATTTGTTTCTCATGTTGTGAAACCTTTCATTCCTTCCTTTTGTGTTCAGGTACACATAAAATATTTTCAAATATTTAATCCAGTGTTTTTAAGTCTTGATAGTAGGCAGATTTTCAGGTTATCTTAGCCCATGATTTTTGCCATAACTGGAAGACATCTAAAAATAGAGATTTAAGTTAGAAAATTCGAAGATTGGAACTTAGCTAAAGAGATTTAAAAGCATCATGTAATACATTTTTCTTCACAGAGTTACCTTTTTTTATTGGTGACATAGACTGAGCAAGAAATGACATTACTATCACGATTAGGTATCCATAAAGCCACTCTCAGAAGGGTGGTCGCTGATCCTGACTTCTGAGTCTTTTGCTCTGTTTGTGTGACGTCCCTTTCCTCTCTGGCCTGTTGCTGGACTAGGTTGTGTTACCGCCTGCCGTCCAAGCACACTCAGACGCTACCTACATAGGAGGACAGGAGGGGATGGGGTGCGGAGGAGGAGTGGCTCCTTAAAGAGTGGCTGTAGAAACCCAGCTTTCTGCCTCTAGTGAGATGGCCTCCTGCAAAGGTTGACCGTTGTTGGGACAGAGTCCATGGGGACAGTGGGGACGCAGGCCAAGATTAGGAATGTCTGATCCTTCATGACCAGTTGCTCAAACCGGTTTTCTGCCTCCTGTTACTCTGCACCTTGAGCAGGCTGCTGGCTTTATCCTGTCGTTTGAAGGGGACTGGGAAACTTCAGGACTTGAATTGCTTGCCTGGAGCACATGAGTACATTCCATTCCCCCCGTCCCTCTATGTGGCCACCTGGAGAGAAACCTCCTCTAGGCCTGGTGGTGCTTCTGCTCCTGATGTCTGATGATTGTGTTACTCTCTTTTCAGGGAGGAATGATCAATTGGAATCGTCTTTTCCCTCCTTTACGTCAGCGGAGAAACATAAACTATCAAGATGGTCGTCGGTCAGAACAGCAGGCCTCCCCTCCTCTGGAGGTTTCTGAGGAACAGGTAATCAGCCACACCTGGTATGGCTGTGCTGGGGTTTAGCCAGCAAGAAGTCAAGCCCTGGGTTTTGTAACCTGGCATGGTGGTGCATGCCTATAATCCCAGCTACTCAGGAGGCTAGAGCAGGAGGATCACAAGTTCAAGGCCAGTGTGGGCCACTTACTGAGACCCTGTCTCAAAATAAAAAGGGCTGGGGATTAACTCAATGTATAGAGTGCTGACCTAGAGTGCGTAAGAACCTGGGTTCAACCCCCAGTAGCAGAAAAAAAAAGGAAGGAAAGGGGGAGGAAAGAAAATAAAAGCTTGATTTTGAAAGAAATCAGGCATATCAATGCAAAGATTTTTATAGAAGCTAAATTGCCACCAGGGACAACAACTTTGGACCTTTATTAGCAGCTGTGGTAGGTCTTACGACGTGTTTGAGGAAGGTTTGATTTAGGAAAAAGAAATGCATTATGATGGCTGATTTTAAAATCTGTTTTATTTTATTTATACAAGAAACTAATGAAGTTGGTTTCCTACAAAAGGTGGGAAAGAAGTAGAAAGATGGGGAGAAAGTAGCACTTTTGGTATGGTTTTGACTTGTGATTTTAAATCATATTAATATTGTACATATTTGAAAAGCAGATCAACAAGAATAGGCACCAATGTAAAATTGAAAAGAAAAAAAATGGTTCAACTATATTTCAAATGAATAACATAATCACATTAAAGGGAAATTAATTTCAGTAATTTTTGAACAGTCTAAAGAAAAAAACTGCAAACAAATCTTAAGACTCTTCTTTGTAGGTTTATTTTTCATAGTAGCATGGGAATGGGATTCTAAAATTATGTCACATGTATTAGGAAATATAGGAAATAGGTGTCATACTGTGGAAAAAGGAAGGAACAAATATAGAACATGGGACAGCAAGGAAGAACCCTTGGGGGCTGGATCAGAACTAGCAGTGTCTGCACAAACCATGATTGTGTGTATGTGTGTGTGTGTGTGTGTGTGTGTGTGTGTGTGTGTGTGTGAATGTGTCCTTACACACACACCTGCCCTTGCTCTGACTGATAGGGATCAGAAGCCGATGACATCCTAGTAGCATTGAGCACACCCAGTGCCCAGATCTGTTTCCAAATAGTTTTCCCCACTGAAAGGAACCAGAAATGGTGGGCCCAGGCCCAGGTGGGGAGGAGCAAGATAACCTTGAACATCTTGTGCAGGTAGTGGGGAAGTGCTCAGCAACTGGTGGGGCATATCATAAGGACTCCCGAGCCCGCTGAGGGTCCCCTGGCCACATCTATCCTGAGTTTGAGCACATAAATGAGGACAGTAGTATGGTATAATCCATTGAGGGAGAATTCGTGAGTTTATACCAATATTAATAGATAAATATTACATAAATACCTACACAGAAGAAAGGAAATGCATTTCTTTTTAGTAGAATTTCACATACTACAGAAAGCATAGCAGTATTGGAAAATTACTTTTGTAACCATCATGGTAAAAATATAAAAATAAAAATCAGTTCAGGGAAGAATCATCAGTATGTGAAGACTTGGGGATGAATATACTCTCACAGTATGTCTGCACAAGTTACTTAATTATAAAAAGAAAACAGTAACTGTATAGTGAGCAACCCCTTCACCAAGTTACCAAAGTAACATTAGCAGTGCTAAAGAGAGACATCGTGCTCACACCCTGAGAGGCACACGGCTATTAAGTGCTACACTCAGGCACAGAACTTCACCAGTATGAGGGACATTCTCTAAACTACCTGGCCTATGCTCTTCAGGAACCCTCATGTCACAGACCATTCTGTATCACCGGAACTGGGGAGCCTTACCACCTCGATACTGAACAAGATTCAGTATCGATACTGAACAAGATTCTCTATAGGGAAAATCAGGGGCAGGGGAGGCCCTTTTAGGATGAGATTATACCGTAAATTAGAAATAGTATCATGTTCATGTTAAATTGCAGGATTTGGCATCCATACTGACAAGTTAGGAAAGAGAATACTCTTGTTTTTAGACAATTCGCACAGAAGCATTAAAGGGAGTTAAAGGGAGCTGTGTGCGGCCCACCCTTGGGTAGCTCAGGAACAGTCTGAGTGAGAGTGAATGTGCACATGCTCTGTGTGTGCAGACAGAGAAACAGGGAAAACAGTTAACAAAATAACAGTTGCTGAATCTGAATGAAGATGTAAACAGGGTTTCTTGGTACTATTCAGGAAACTTCTCCAAGTTTGAAATTATTTCATACTGGAAATTTTTCTTCTGTGTATGCTGTTTTTTTCCTCATCAAACAAAGCAAATCAAGATCATCATTTCACAACTGGCCACACCATGCCTGGAGGTTCCTCATCTCTTAGCCCTAGAGTAACAAAGAGCAGGGCACCCAACCTGGTAGCAAAACTGTGTCCTCAGGTTTTCTGGAACTCCAGCAGTGGCCCTTAGAGAGGCTTCCCCAGCACCCCTGGATTAGACCATGGTAAATGCTTTTGAGAGAAACTAAAATGTGCCTGTCCACCCCTTGGCTCAGGCGGGCAGGGGGCTGTGCAGCCAGAGCACTTCTCCTCTACCTGTTTAAAGAACTTTTCAACAACTGCTGTCCACAGGGATAAGATCTTTATAGTAACAGATTGAAAAGTAAGATAATAGTCTCAAATCCAGGTGGAAAGATCAAACTTCTGTTACCTTATTGTTTACTTGGTATAGCAGTGAGTCACATTCTTCACGAAGCCGTTAAGGGCATGAGGTATTTAAAGGTGAGATATTTCTTGGTTTTGGCACTTTGACGGGGAAAAAGTGTCAAAAACAGAGAACAAGGAGAATGTGTGTAATTGAAGTCTTTAGGGGTTTTTAAAAAATGAATCACTTTTCCTGATCCTCCCAGAATGATAGCAGTGAGGTTAACATGATGTCCATATCAGTCTAAAGCAGCAGTTAATTCTCCCCTGCTCTGGGTTGTAAGAAGATGCACATGTGCAAGAGGTTATTTACGCTTTCTTGCTCACTGATTTTTCTAAGTCTTGCTTTTTGTGGTTCTTGATTATCCTGAAAGTGGCAGATACAAATCATCATGGCATTAAAGACACAGGGCTCACAAGTGTTATTTATTATGCAGTCTCAGCATTTCTTGGGTAGGTGCTACAGTGAGTATAAAAGATTAAAAAAAAAAAAACCTACTGATCCTCCTTTCAAGATGTTTATGATGAAGAGTACAAAGTTACTGTATGAGCTCTTGATTAGTTTGTTAATGCTAGCTATTGTCTAAAATATTATGTTAATAAAACATTAAGCCATCTTTAATAACTTTTTATCCTTAATTTTTTAATTAAATGTGTTTGTAAATGAGTCATAATGCATTAAAGAAGCTTCATAATTTTCTAAACCCAGAAAAATAGCAGAAAACTTCATATAAGCATTTCTAATAACCATACACTTCAGATATTTTTAATGAGAGTTATTCAGTAAAATCCAGTAGATTGGAAGTATATGCAATGAATTTGAAAGCAGAATGTTCTTTTGAGAGAGTGTGCCTCCTTCCTCAGCCCAGTCTTAGTGTAACAGACAGCCATAGACATCTGCCACCTCTTCTACTTTTGCTTTTTTTGCTGTTAAGATTTTTTGGTTTCTCAGAACCCACTCCTGGTTTTGGTGGGTACACCCACAGCACCTTTGCCTCGGAGATGCCACCCCTGTCCCTCTTAACATGGCCACAGGGTGGGTCCCATCGGAGCAAGCTAGACAAGGCTGCAGAGCTCTGAGCTGCACCTTGTGCCTCACGCTGCCCAGACTGGCAAACTACACAGACTGCTAAAGGCAGTCCCCGGGAACTGAAGGACAAGACGCCCGCTCTGGCCATCGTGGTGCACACATGAGAGAGGAGCATGAGGGAAAAAGCCGGTCCCTGCTGGTTTACAGAACTTTCCAAGAAGTAGGCCGAGGGGTGGGGGATGTCGGATGAGCCGTGGAATAACAAGTGACCATGAGAAGCAGCCGTGCAGGAGCGAGGCTGCAGGGTTGCCAGGAGGACCAGGAGGGTGTCACCAGCTCCAGATCCAGTGAGGATCAGATAGTGTAGAGGGTCCTGCCAGGCGAGTGATGGAGGAGGGAAAGGAGAAGGAGGAGGGAAGAGGAAGACAAAAGGAGATAGTGTCAAAACCAAGAGCTGTCCAGTGAACTCCTTTCAGTAATCGAATGTGCTGAGGTGTCTTCTATCTTCAGAATAAGGATATCTGTCTGTCTGTCTCTCTCTTATGCTTTCTTGTTTTATAGTACTGGGAATCTAACTTAGGGTCTTACATGCTGAACAAGCACTCTACCACTGAGCTACACCCAGCCCTTTTTTATAAATTTTATTTTGATACAAGATCTCACTAAGTTGCCCAGGCTGGACTCAACTTGCAATCCTCTTACCACAGCCTTTCAAGTAGCTGGGACCACAGGTATGTGCTACCACACCCAGCTTCTCTTTTTTTTCTTTCTTTTTTTTTTTTCCTTAAGCAGGTATTTTTATACTACACTAATATTCAAGATTAACAAATAATGAAATAAGGACATATTTACATATTTTTAAATCAAAGGAGAAGAAATTATTAAGTGTGTCTCTTTTGAACCCTCTGCAAGGTTTAAAAAAATGACCGTTCAGATGAAATCAGACGAGGAAGTTAAACAGGACAAAAAAAGCTAGGACTTAACAAAAGGAAGATAAACAAATTTCCACTTCCTCTCTTCCATTCATGTCTTGATACTGAGGTAAATAAAGTCGGATTTCCTGCCATGACGGAGTTTAGAGCCTAGTGCAGGGAGACAGGCCTGGAAACCACTGCCAGGAAAAGGCTCATCTGCTGTTGAATTGGTGCTGTGAGGGTCAGGGCAGTGGCCTTCACAGGGAAGGGGCCCAGTGGAAGTTCACCAGACTCAGGTGAAGTTGGCATAGAGGGCAGGGCAGGATACTGTCTGGAAGCAGGCGGAACAGGTTCCCCAAGGCCTGACACAAAAGCATGAAC